GGGTGACCCTGAGGTGGAGACCCAGTAGCACATGGGGGGAGGTGGCAGTGGGGACAGTGGCACCTCGGTGGTGGCACCTCAGGGTGACACACAGAGGTGGGTGGCACCCCCAGGTCAGCTGGCCCCCAAATGTCATCTGCTCCGTCACCTTGCGCAGGGATGAGTGGGCGGGGCCAGAGGTGGGCCCAGGCATCCGGCCACCACCCCCTGGCCCCAAAATGGCCAGGATTCACCCCAAAACCTTCCCCCTAACGCCACACGCTCAGAGGGCCCGGGCGTCCGGGTGAGATTTATTGCGCTCGGTTGGGGGGGGTGGAGGGGTGCTGCCCCTCCCTTAAATAACAGTGATAAATAGAAAAAACCCCAAATTAAATAAATCCTCCTTAAATAAATAAAATAGAATAAAATAAATAAGCAGGGGAAGGGGCAGGGCAGCACCCAAAGGTGACGGGTGCCACCCCACGGGTGACAGGAGGGTCCCCGAGGCCCCGGTGACGGGCGCCGCCCCTCAGTGGGCTGCGGCAGGGCTGGCGCCTCCCCGTCCTCAGGGTGCTGTTGGGCACCCACAGCCCTGTGGGTGTCTCCCAAACCGTCCTGTCCCCAGGTGGGGGGGGGCCCAAGGGAGGGGTCCGGACAGGTGTCCTGGGTGTCACTGGGGTCCCAGCGGGTGTCCCAGTGGGTGTCAATGGAGTCCTGACTGGTGTCACGGGGGTCCTGACAGCTGTCCCAGGAGTCCCGACAGGTGTCACGAGCGTCATGGGGGTCCTAAGAGGTATCATGGGTGTGCCAGCAGGTGTCATGGGTGTCCTATGGGGGTCCCAGCAGGTGTCACAGGGGTCCTGGTGGGTGTCACTGGGGTCCTGACGGATGTCCCAGCAGTCCTGTCAGGTGTCACGAGTGTCACGGGGCTCCTGGTGGGTGTCACTGGGGTCCTGACGGATGTCCCAGCAGTCCTGTCAGGTGTCACGAGTGTCACGGGGCTCCTGGTGGGTGTCACTGGGGTCCTGACGGATGTCCCAGCAGTCCTGTCAGGTGTCACGAGTGTCACGGGGCTCCTGGTGGGTGTCACTGGGGTCCTGACGGATGTCCCAGCAGTCCCGTCAGGTGTCACGAGTGTCACAGGGCTCCTGGTGGGTGTCACTGGGGTCCTGACGGATGTCCCAGCAGTCCCGTCAGGTGTCACGAGTGTCACAGGGCTCCTGGTGGGTGTCACTGGGGTCCTGACGGATGTCCCAGCAGTCCCGTCAGGTGTCACGAGTGTCACAGGGCTCCTGGTGGGTGTCACTGGGGTCCTGACGGATGTCCCAGCAGTCCCGTCAGGTGTCACGAGTGTCACAGGGCTCCTGGTGGGTGTCACTGGGGTCCTGACGGAGGTCCCAGCAGTCCCGTCAGGTGTCACGAGTGTCATGGGGCTCCTGGTGGGTGTCACTGGGGTCCTGACGGATGTCCCAGCAGTCCCGTCAGGTGTCACGAGTGTCATGGGGGTCCTGGTGGGTGTCACTGGGGTCCTGACGGATGTCCCAGCAGTCCCGTCAGGTGTCACTGGGCTCCTGGTGGGTGTCACTGGGGTCCTGACGGATGTCCCAGCAGTCCCGTCAGGTGTCACTGGGCTCCTGGTGGGTGTCACTGGGGTCCTGACGGATGTCCCAGCAGTCCCGTCAGGTGTCACTGGGCTCCTGGTGGGTGTCACTGGGGTCCTGACGGAGGTCCCAGCAGTCCCGTCAGGTGTCACTGGGCTCCTGGTGGGTGTCACTGGGGTCCTGACGGAGGTCCCAGGAGTCCCGTCAGGTGTCACGGG